CGATTGGATATCGGACCGCAGTTTCCTTCCTCACCTCCACTCCCATGCAGAGCTTACCGAGCTAGTGCGTACAGATCGGCTCGGGCAGATCGCATACTTGAGGCGAGCGCCTAAACGGAGGGCAGGACCTGCTTGGGGCGTTTTGTCTGAGGCACTTGGGATGTGTATCGATTGTCGGATGTATCGGATCTCCAGGCGCAGAAAGTATGTACCAGAAACGTTCAGCAGAAGATGCAACGACCTTTTGGCGCTGATCCGCATCGTAGGGTTTGCTCCGTTCACCTCGCTTCGTTCACAGTCATTTGCGCAGCCGAAGAACAACGGCAAAGTTGGCACCGAGAGTCAGAGAGTTTTGCACTGCTTCGACGCGTTCGGAATGTCGCTTTTCGGCCACATGCACCGAGTCTCGCGTCGACCTGACCCGCCACACTTTGCTCGCGGAGGGCTTCGAGGGAGGAGAAGGGAGGGGTGCATCCTATCACTGTCGGCAGCGTGCTGGCGCTGTCGCGACGGCAATCTGAGTCACGCGATCTCGAATTTCGACGGCGCGAACGCTTTTGCATGCACGCATCGACAAGCATTGCACGAACATCATGCACAGCACGGACGTAGCGAGAACATAGGATTGCTTGATCAAGCAGTGGACATGGCGACCATGCACGCTACTGGGATAGACGGGGAAATAGACCTACTACCACATGTCGGTACTACCATGGGGCATTCGATGGCGGCGGGGGACTTCGCAGACATATATTCCCCCACGGTCGATAGCTGGAACAACGAGCTAGTTAACACGGGCATCAGCTATAGTTGGCTCCAAGGGCCCTCAGCTACAGGGAACCAGGAGAAAATCGACATCGGAGTAGGCTTTTTCGTGGGCGACGTCACTAGGCTACATGTACACGCATGCCCTAACAACAGCAAGTACATCGCGCAGCAACTGAACCATGCCACAGATAGACTGCAATCACATATTGGGAAAATGGGCACCAGCTAAATGCGGACGAGACAAACCACCTCATATCACTCAGCGGAGACGGGGCATATCAGACAGCCAGCGAGCTCGCCAAGCAACGTTTTCTTCAGGGTGGTGTTTGTCGGGAAAGCCGTGTCCTGGGCCATATCCTCAGCTTTGACGGGGAGTTGCGAATTGAGCTAAAAAACCGTATCCGAGGGGCTCGTGCGGCTTGGCGATCTTTAGGTGCGGTGTGGCATCAGGCACTGGACGACAGGCACTTACGTACTTTATTTTTTTGTTTCGTGTACAGCGCGGCCATCACAGGACTGACGGCCTTTGCGTTGCCGCCAGAGATTACCCAGGCGCTCGACACGACGATTATAAAGCTCCTTAGAAGTATGATGCATGGTAGAGCTAAGCAGCAGTATGGAAACATAATGCGGACGTTATCTAACAAGCAGGTTTTTGAGTATTGGAATTTGTGTGACACAGCGTCAGAACTACGTGTGCAGCGCCTGCGGTGATATCAGGCAATGGCCAGTCAACCAGACAACCACCAGCAGGTGCTCATGGCGACATTCGGTACCACCGAACTTGACCGCCAGCTTGGGCGGCCAAGGATTTCTTCAGGTGGGCATCTTGCCTGTCACAGCACGCCGTGGGCGAAGCAGTGCAAGCGTGACATAGCAGCGCCTGCCAGACTCGAAAGCTCGTTGGACGTGGCTTGGCAGGACAAAGAAAGCATCCTCAGCATCTTCACCGATCGTGAGCTCGCTGTTACGTTCGCCAAGATAAAGATTGCCGACACCAGATATCTTCTAAATCAAACAGGTTCAGAAAGACTACAGCGTATCAGGAGGCTGGTGGGCCTGGAGGCGGAGGACATAGGCGGGAACCAGCAGCACAACACAGAGCAGCACCAGCACGACGGCACGAACAGCGAGCACAGCACAGTGACTGACGAATGGATATGCACGCATGAAAATGATGACGGTACGACATGTGGAAGCACGTTTCAGACAATAAAAGGACTCACGGCGCACATCACGCACGCACATCGTATGAGAAACATGCGCTCGATGCTTATCGCTACTAACGTGTGCCCATGGTGCCGCACTGCATTCGCGTCCAGAGAATCATGTCTGCGGCACTGCCTCACTATGGATCGTAGAGTTCCTCGCACTTGCCCTACACGCTCTACGTCATTCGCTTTTCGGCCCATTGAGTTTCATGCATGCGTCTGCGGACATTGCGCCGCGGAACATACCGTACTCCACGAACATCTCGAACACGTCTGCGCGCACGTTGAAGGGCCCGATGGTGCAGAACTGGAGGCTCAACCTCGCGTCGAGACCGAGAGGATCAGGAGAGCAGCTCGGACAGCCAGCGGCCAAGTCACCACGCCGTGGGGGCCCGAGGAAGCAGAATGGCAAGAACGTTGGCTCCGAGGCGAGCGGAGAGGAAATACTCGCGCTCGGAAAACTGTCGCTGAACAAAGCGCAGCAGATCAGAGCCATCTCAGGCAGCCTGTGGGACTTTTTCCTGGTGGACGGCAACAACCACGCGGCAGTCAACGCGGGGTCGGCAGCGGGCGGGAAGTATGCGGGGCGCAGCCAGACAGGAGAAAAGGACCTGGGCAGCCCGCACGTCTACGTGGCAGCGGAGTTCCTGGGTACCTTGGGCCGCGCCGAGAACCTGCCGACAAACCTAAAGGAGGACATGGGCAAGCTCAGCATGATCATGGACGTGATCCCGTTCAACGAGCTCGCCGACCTCGTGAGGTTCATGAGGGCGAAGAAAGCCTACCAGGAGAACGGACAACAGGAGCGGTGGAAAGTACACATCATGCTCAACCCGCTCGGCCTCAGCCCGTTCAACAGCCACGCGGAGGACGAGATCAACAAGATCAGGGCAGGCAACACCGAGAGCCCGATCAAGCTGGAGCCGCTCAACATCCCACAGATCAGGGCCATGATATACGGGGCGATGCAGGCAACAGGGGGCGTCGCGATTGTAGGAGCTCCGCCACCGACCGCGCTCGAGCGGCAGGTGCAGAAGTACGTGCGCCAGAGGCAGAGCACGGAGTACACATTCGAGGATTGAGGCGACAGGCAGCAGCAGGCAGTGTGAGAGCAGCAGAATTACTCCAACGCCTAACTGGCGTTAGGCCACCAGGCAAGCAGAGATGACGGGGATGGGGGGAGGTTAGTGTGGGAGGGGAGTGTGCGACAGTACCTGTAGCGGTTTAGCATAGAGGTCACGAGATTTTCGGAATCGATTTGACCTCGCCCGAGTGTGGGAGGGATGCGCCAGCGTGCGATAACCTCCCACCCATTCTGTGCCTTTCGCGTTTGAGGGATTTTCGGTCCAGTGTCGAAGCGGGCCCGTGAGGCTCAATAAGCCATTGGGTCCCGCAGGCTTCCCTCTGCCGCGCCAAATGAAACAGCCAGCAGACCCAAGCTCGAGCAACAGGCGAGCAGTCTCTGCATAGTAACGAGACAGAGGCAACCGAACTGCCAAGGCTTCCGACTCCGACTCCGGCTCCTCCTCCTCCGCCCTCCTCCTCCTCCTCCTCCTCCTCCTCCTCCTCCTCCGCCCTCTTCCGTCCCCTCCTCGGAGGAGGCGATCCGCCAACGGCAACCACCGTGGCGTCGCGCTGCCATGTGGATGACTGGTGAGCCCTTGGCACTCGTATCAAGTATCCCACAAGGGGGAGGCGAAGGGAGGAGCTTCGATTGACGAAGGCATCGTTCCCCACCCGTCAGCTTGGGGGGAGGGGAGGGGCGGGGGGGCGGACGGGCGCCCGCGGAGCAGCGTGACGAGGAGAAGAGGGATGAGCAACGAGGAGGCTCCACGAGGAGGCTCCACGAGGAGGGAAGTGCTCCCGACCCGCCTCGCACACCCCGCCTGCCGCGGCCGCCAGGCCCCAGGCGTGCAGATGCTCCCTGAGCATCCCGCCTCGGACCTTCGACGGATGACGACTGCATGCTGTGGCGGCCAGGCCCAAACTACGCCTGCGCTCCCCGGGTGCGCCGCCTCGTGCCTTCGACGGATGACGACTGCATGTCGCGCCCGCCGTGCACAGAGTGTGCCGGTGCTCCCTGGATTCCTCGCCTATCGCTCTTGTCGTTGTGCGCGTGTCGAGCTCTTGTGGGGAATCTCGAGGCATCTGGCTGGCCTCTGGAGACCTCGAGGGCCCTTTGGGGGACGCGCGTGGAGTCTCGCCGCGGCCGCCAGGGGAAGGCGGAGGAGGAAGGAGGTCAGAAAATGATACTCCAGATTTCGTAATAAAAGGGAGGGGGTCTGGACCCTCCAAGACAAGCCATTTCAGACCTCCCCCGTGGGAGAACCGTCCAAAACATCGTCCCCAGACCCCCCCAGGCCCTCCAAGATAGCCTGGAAGAGACCCCCCCCCCCCGAAATGAGACCCCCCTTCCTTTATTACGAAATCCGGAGTACCGTGCTGGTACCGCTGCTCTCCCCTCATTGTCGTCTTCTTTTTGGGCCTCCAGCCCGGGAGGCCCCTGTCGCCGCGGCTGCATTCGCCTCGAGATCCTGGTCAGGACGCACCCTCCTCCTGCTCCTCCCTCCTCCTCCATCTCCTCCTGCCCCTCCCCCTCCTCCTCCTCCTCCTCCTCCTCCTCCTCCTCCTCCTCCATCTCCTCCTCCCCCTCCCCCTCCTCCTCCTCCTCCTCTTCCTGGAGCTTGGGGAGAGCTCCGGGTAGTAGCGGTATCAGTATCGTAGGTTTTCCCACTAACCGCCACGGCGACTACGAGCAACGACGATGAGCGACAACGACGAGCGACGACGACGAGCGACGACGACGACGACGACGACGACGACGACGACAACGACGACGACGACGATGCGCCACGACGAGCGACGGGCCACTAGTTTCAGGTCTTAGCGCTCTCCGAGTGGATGGCGTGCAGCGTGCATAATTGGTAGCTTACTGGCTTGTCGAAGGGGCCCGCTGAAGATCCTGCACGCTGACCCAGATCAGGCCAGATCGGTTGCGCCAGCGGCGAGGGGTGTGCCAAGGAAATCACCACTCCCGAGCTGGGGCAGTCCATGCCGCCTGAGGTTCTGCAGTCGGTGCTCATCTCCACAGGCGCGAGCGTCTCGTAACTGTGAGGTCGGACAGTCTTGATCGCCTAGGCCGACCCTCTGGCTGGGACGCCAGGCCCAGAGGGCGGTATTTAGACGGGCTCCTCCCCAGACGCTCTGGATCCCAGGAGGACAAGGCGTTCGCCTCCCCGACCCCGCCGGGACGCCTGGAGCTTGTGCTGGCTGCGGATTGCGCGGCCCGACGGAGCAGTCTGCCTTGAGCTCGGGAGGGGCCTTCGGTGGATTCGCTTCTCGGGTTGCAACTCCTGGGAGGTTTACTTCAGCATCGCCGCTGGTACACAGTCAACCCGCAAAGGAAGGATGGGCGACTTTCCAGGGTCACCCGTGCATCCTGCCCCTTCGGCCCATCCTTGGCCGCTTTCGCTGGCCGCGCACCTGCTTCCTTATTGCACGGGTTGGCTGCATCCGTGGCCGAAAACAAAACCAGCCAAGTCCGGCACGATCCCGCTTAGTCTGGCTCAATCCCCCATCATCCGGCTTACTCTGGTGTAGTTCTGGGCCTGATCCGGGCTAGTGCGGTCTCGGGACGTCTCAGCTGGGCTTGACAGTTCTCAGTCGTTATTGCGAAGACCTCCCAGACGTTGCCTTCTGCTAACGCTTCTCGTCCAGCTCGCCGCGCGGCGCACGAAGATAACCGCGCTTCGCGCGTCGCGGCCCGGGCTGGGAAGCAGCACCTCTCCGGGGTGGCCGCACGGGGGCGCCCAGGCGGCGCGATGCCTCGCGCATGCACGCAGAGGCGAGGTGGAGCGCGGAGGCGGGCGAGCCAGACACAGCACGGCCCTTACGGCCTCTCCGGCCGGTGCAGTCCTCCTCGCCACCGGGCTCGGTGACCCTCTTCGTGGCGGCCCGGGGACACCGGAAGGTCACCGGGCCCAGGCCTCCTCTGCTTGTTCGAGCCGAGGCGCTGGCAGGGACCCGGCGCCCCGTCCAGGTGGCGCAGAGGAGGTCTCCTCCAGACCGTGCCTTCAGCATCAGATGCTACCGATCCCTCCTACGCCCGCGGTGGCAGCAGCTACGGGCGCATGTGGAGCTACGGGCGCTCCTTTCTTCCCCCTCCCTTCTCAGACTGACGGGTTAGCGTCGGAGTCGAAGGACTTTGGGGAACGGCCTCATGTCCGCTTGTCGCCGTCACTACTGTTCGTTGCGCTCGTCGCCTCCGCTTCCCTCCATCTTCTCCCGAACCACTGCGCTGATAAAATAAAGCTTTCTTGCTGCAAGGCGGATCTGAAAACGACGCTTCGGGGTCACCGCCTGCCGCATCGGTTCTTGCAAGGAGGGCCGACGGCGGATCCCAAACGGGCTCCCAGGACTGGCCGAACGCAGCCCGGGGCGGCTCTGGAAAAGGTCCGACGTTTCCCAGGGCGACCCAAACGGCCACAAGGTGGCCCCACTGCTGCGGGTTCGGGCTCAAGAGGTTCCATGAGGCCAGAAGATCCCCCCTCTGCACAGGGGCACCCTGATGGCCCAGAAGTGCCCGCGACGCCGATCCGCTTCCACTTGGAAACCGGCCTCAGGGCCTCTCTCTTGGGACCCTCCGAGCTAGGACCTTCTTGTGCCCTAGTGGGCCCCCCTGGCAGCTCTCCAGGGTCGTCTTGGGCACATCTGCGTGCCTCTGAGGAACATCTGAATCGGACGGATTCGGCAGCTTCCGGCCTTCCACCGGCCCGAATGCACGACAGGTGGGCCAATCGCAGTGCATGAGCGAGAATGTTATACCTTGACATCGTTTGGACGTGTGCATTTTTCTTGGCGAGGTCAGCGCCCGAAATTTTGAAACATCTTGGAACACCTTAGGCCATCGTGGGGAAAACGCACACAACAAATCACACGAAACCAACCAATGCGCGGGGATTGGGCGTTCGAGCGACGGCAAGATACAAACAAGGGTGAGAGTGCGCGTGAGCACATTCCGAGTCAACCATCCGTTGTGGGGTAGACAGGTGGGGTTGACAGGGGTGTGCGTCGCCGTGTCTCTGCGCCCCCGGCTCTGTTCCTGAGTACTCGAACAGGGCGGGCAGGAATGTGCACGCGTAGGTTCTGTCCGAGTTGAATCTCTTGGCTGAAGGAATCGCCGCCACGGCTACGAATTCGGAAGCGCTCGGGACAACCATAACACCAGTGCAGCCAGAAGTATCCGGCCGCTTGCGGCCAACCCCGCCACCATACCAGCGCAGCAGCGCAGCGGGAAGGAGGTTGAGTTTCGAACCTGCTCCTGGTCAGCGCTCTCTCTGGGCTGGGGCAGCCTGCTTCTCCTCTTCCCCCTCCTTCGTCCCTCGGTTGCTCCTCACCACCTCCTCCCTCTCTCCCTCTCCTCTTGCAGGTATCTTGGTGGCATCTTGGGCCTCTTAGCGCCCTCTTGTTGGCCTTGCGGGGCTTGTTGGGGGCTCGTCGAGGGCCCCGTCAGGTGTCTCGGGGAGTCCGGGACGTGATCGTTCCACAGAACTCTCACGAAAAGGTTCGCTTGCACCATCTTGGGCCGTCTTGGAGCCCTCTTGGGCCGTTTTGGAGCCCTCTTGGGACGTCTTGGGGGTTTTCGGGCAGTCGTAAACCTATCTCTGGGCGCCCTTGAGGCCGTCTTGTGAGCGTCTTGGGGCTAACTCGAGGCGGTCTTTGGGCGTCTTGGAGCCATCCAGAGGTCCAAAGTTCGTCTGGGAGGGGAAGTGTGTGTGTGTGTGTGCGTGTGTGCGTGTGTGTGTGTGTGTGTGTGTGTGTGTGTGTGTGTGTGTGTGTGTGTGTGTGTGTGTGTGTGTGTGTGTGTGGGGGATTTGTCTGAGGCAGGTCGCGACGAGGTGAGGTCGGCCTTGAAAACCATAGCAGCCCTACCAGACAATCGATGAGCTTTCTAAGACGTCCCGACGTGCCTAGCCGCACCCTGCCTACGGCACGTTATCGGATACATCATCGGTCAAACCCACTTCGCTTGTGAGAGCAGCGTAGTTTGCTCTGTAGCCGAAGCGACGTCTGCGATGTCTAGGGACACCCGTAGGCTACATCTCATACAACTACGTTGTCTTATTCTGAGATCATCGACGACGCATAACGGGACCCCAGCGGCGGCAGTGGCCACACGAGCCTTCCAGACGAGGTGGCTGCCCTACGAGGTTCAATTCAGCATGGCATTCGGTATGTCCGTGGTCGAAATTGGGCCCAATCCGGCAGACTCCCGCTGACTCCCGCTCAATCTGGCTTGCTCCCGCTTAGCCCTGGGTTTACTCTTAGGTTTGTTTGGCTAAATGACTCCTGTAACCCGGCCTGATTGTCTTGGATCGTTCTCACGAAGACCTCCCAGGAGCTGCCCCCCAAGCGGGCGGGGCCAGGACAGGGATAAAGCGTTCCAGAGCGTTCCGGAACGTCCAGAGCGCTCCGATGATCAGGGGTTCGTAGAGGGGGATATCCCGAGGTGGGGTTAGGGAACGAACCCAGCCAGATGCTCACATCTCCTTCTTGCACGGGTCGTTTTGAGCCATCCTCCTCTTTCCCCAACTCTGCCCCTACCCCACCTTCACGTCCTTCCGAGAGAAGGCCGCGGCGCCCAATATGTCCTCCAGAACCGCCGGACCTCAGAGATCCCCGACTTGCCCTTGCCCGATGTTGTCCCTGTCTTGGCTTCGTCTTCTTCGGGACGGGGGGCCCCTGCGCGGATCCAAGACAGCCCCGCGCGGGTGGTCGAGAAATTGTGCTGATGCCGTTGCTGGGCCCTCTCTGTACATGTCGGCACCACAGCAGGTGCGGTCGACGGCATGCAGGTCGATGGGCTGTCGTGCGACGGGCTCGCCGGGGAGGCGCCGGGAGCCGCCGGGCTCCGCGTCGACGCGCCGGTCGAGGGCATGGGGATGGACATAGGGATGGACATGATCGGGGTCGAGGCGCTGGAGGCCGGGTTCGACCCGCAGGCGGCGCATTGGCTTCCCGAGGCGCCCGGGAGGGACGGTGCTGGGAGCAGCTCATCGGAGCATGGTGTGCCCTCGGTGGAGAGTGCATTCGCGTGCGCCAGCGTCTAGGAGTCGATGCGAGAGTGCCGAGTTGGCATCGATTCAGCGCCGATCAGCGCCGATTCGCAAGAGTTAGTCAGATGGCATGGGAGGCTCTCGTGAGGTGCCACAGAAGACAGTAGCTCGAAACAGCTCAAGTTTTGTTGTGCGTGCTTTAGCTCTTGCTGGGCACTCGGAGGCACACAGTGGACCGTTTGGGGATCTCGAAGGCCTTTCTTTGAACCTGCATGGAGTCTCATGTGTACCTGGCATGTTCTTGGGAATCAAAGAAGAAACAACTGCACAAATATGAGCGTTCGACGGTCCGTGCGGCTTTCTTGGATCTGCGCCCTCCTGGCGGTGCCTTCTGCGCCGCGCCTATCCTAAACATCGCAGCAAGAACAGGGAGGCAAGCAAAGTGAGCGCGCGGGCAGCCACTCAGAGGAAGAAGAGCCAGAAACAACAACTGGTGGGGATACTTTTTTGTCGCGGGCGCGAGCGGAAGCGCAGGCGCCGAGTTGAAAGGTCCTGGCCACGGGCCGATCAAATTAGCAACACGCGAGCCTAAAAGCACAGCGACCGAGCCCGGAATCAGAACCTACCGCCGGTGGGGCAGCTGTCTGAGGCTGAGCTGGCTGAGCTGACTGCAAACGGCCAGGGTAGCTGATGCATACGTGCGGGTCAATTGGATACTGGTGGGGATACGCAAAGCGTCGTGAACTTCTCACGGCCTGTCGTGACGATTGGGGAAATCAATACAATACCAATACCGCTGCTCCCTGGACCTCTCCCGCGGTGCGTTCTGACCAGAATTTCGAAGCGAATCAGGCCGTGGCGATGAGGGCCTCCACCAACGCCCAAAACGGCGTAGCGGTATCGGTACCTTTTTCCTCCTCCGACGATTGCCCTTCCGCAGAGTACGGAGGCCTTCTGCGCCGCGCC